TTTACCGAAGAAAACAAACGTGAATTTTTTTGTAGCAGCATGTGCAGTCTACGTTAATGTGGGTAATTTGCCATGTTTTACTAGAACATTTTTTGAAGTTGAAACGCGACACCACAGAAAAAACAAAGGAAGGAAAGGGGGAACAAAGGTTTTCACTAAAGGAAACATTTCACAAAACGTGGGTCTTCGTGAGTAGTTGTGCTGCGTCTGATGTTATCCGGAAGATGATGCTCACTTTTTTTGACGCGTTCATCAGTTTCTATGTACGAGAAAGGTTTAAAGAAGGCTTGGGAGTTTTATTGTCAAAGAAAAGAAGTTGACACAGTATCGCAATTTGATGCACTTTGGCAAGTTTTTGTCTTTAACTAAAAAAGTAATGTCAATACGGGAACAAAAAAGATTGTTTATGTCACTTCAACCACAACTTTTCTTGCTATTTTCTGATATCATAAGCTGTCGGAAGTTGTAGAGGTGGGCGAACTTTTTTCTGAGTTAGTGAAACAATATAAACACAACATCATGAGACACCTTTGTGATAAGGAGCAGACGCACAAACTACGTTTTTTCTTAAGTTGAGATGTCCACCCACAACTATGATAAGCGCAGTGTATAAGATGGAAGCAATCAAGCGTTTCATCAAAGCACATCAGCTGCTTGGGTGCTATACATAGTTAAGGTTTGTTCTTTAACTACAATTTACTGTTTACCTGTTTGAAGGTGCACTTTCAGCAAGATGAAAGTTCTCTTCATCCTCTCAACACTTTTTGCAGTATGTCTTGCAAAAGCAATCATTTCAGAGCCAATCTTGGTGAGCAATCTAGGCGTTTTCCACTTTGTTCCTATTCACACCTCGTTCTAGACTAGGTCACTTTAACACTCCTATGCTATCTTGTATGATGCCTATTTCAGACTGCATCCAATTCGTATGCGTACGCTGTTGATCTTGATAGACCTGTTTCCTTGACTGTGTTTACCTGCATGAAGAAAGCCGGTTACAGTACAGCAATTATAAGGTAACGTTAGTACCATAGAAAGGCCTGTTCAGACCCAATCCTCAATTTCCAGAGCTTATGATCCCTCAGGATCTGGAAGGTTTGATGTCAACGCTGTAAGCAACATTCGCAATGCTAATCAAGGTCAGTGCAATTAATAGCTATCAACCGATTATTAGCATTTGTTTTTATAGTAGTCACTTAACTCAGTTTTTTACAGCTGGTCTCGGAACTGAAGTTTTCATGACACCATCACCTCGCTCAAGCAAAAAAGGCAGCCAACAATTCAAAGAGCTCTATGAAGGGCTTAAAAATGGCAAAATCAATGTGAAAACAGTGTGGTTGCAGGTAAACTTCATCACAGTATCCTTGCCCAGATAGTTTGGATGTTTTTTCTGAAATGACTATTTTAAGGTCACTTCTCCTATCAACTGGGGCTCGAACAGCAAAGAGAACATTTACTTTTTGAACGACATCATAACCATGGCTAATGT